TCATGCCTGTGAAATTATTGTCCAAAATCGTTCGGTTTGTTGACAGAAAATGTCTGTTGGTGGAGGTGAGGTGGGTACCCCAGAGGTATCTGGCAGCCACTGAGTACCCCAGAGGTATCTGGCAGCCACTGAGTACCCCAGAGGTATCTGGCAGCCACTGAGTACCCCAGAGGTATCTGGCAGCCACTGAGTACCCCAGAGGTATCTGGCAGCCACTGAGTACCCCAGAGGTATCTGGCAGCCACTGAGTACCCCAGAGGTATCTGGCAGCCACTGAGTACCCCAGAGGTATCTGGCAGCCACTGAGTACCCCAGAGGTATCTGGCAGCCACTGAGTACCCCAGAGGTATCTGGCAGCCACTGAGTACCCCAGAGGTATCTGGCAGCCACTGAGTACCCCAGAGGTATCTGGCAGCCACTGGGTACCCCAGAGGTATCTGGCAGCCACTGGGTACCCCAGAGGTATCTGGCAGCCACTGGGTACCCCAGAGGTATCTGGCAGCCACTGGGTACCCCAGAGGTATCTGGCAGCCACTGGGTACCCCAGAGGTATCTGGCAGCCACTGGGTACCCCAGAGGTATCTGGCAGCCACTGGGTACCCCAGAGGTATCTGGCAGCCACTGGGTACCCCAGAGGTATCTGGCAGCCACTGGGTACCCCAGAGGTATCTGGCAGCCACTGGGTACCCCAGAGGTATCTGGCAGCCACTGGGTACCCCAGAGGTATCTGGCAGCCACTGGGTACCCCAGAGGTATCTGGCAGCCACTGGGTACCCCAGAGGTATCTGGCAGCCACTGGGTACCCCAGAGGTATCTGGCAGCCACTGGGTACCCCAGAGGTATCTGGCAGCCACTGGGTACCCCAGAGGTATCTGGCAGCCACTGGGTACCCCAGAGGTATCTGGCAGCCACTGGGTACCCCAGAGGTATCTGGCAGCCACTGGGTACCCCAGAGGTATCTGGCAGCCACTGGGTACCCCAGAGGTATCTGGCAGCCACTGGGTACCCCAGAGGTATCTGGCAGCCACTGGGTACCCCAGAGGTATCTGGCAGCCACTGGGTACCCCAGAGGTATCTGGCAGCCACTGGGTACCCCAGAGGTATCTGGCAGCCACTGGGTACCCCAGAGGTATCTGGCAGCCACTGGGTACCCCAGAGGTATCTGGCAGCCACTGGGTACCCCAGAGGTATCTGGCAGCCACTGGGTACCCCAGAGGTATCTGGCAGCCACTGGGTACCCCAGAGGTATCTGGCAGCCACTGGGTACCCCAGAGGTATCTGGCAGCCACTGGGTACCCCAGAGGTATCTGGCAGCCACTGGGTACCCCAGAGGTATCTGGCAGCCACTGGGTACCCCAGAGGTATCTGGCAGCCACTGGGTACCCCAGAGGTATCTGGCAGCCACTGGGTACCCCAGAGGTATCTGGCAGCCACTGGGTACCCCAGAGGTATCTGGCAGCCACTGGGTACCCCAGAGGTATCTGGCAGCCACTGGGTACCCCAGAGGTATCTGGCAGCCACTGGGTACCCCAGAGGTATCTGGCAGCCACTGGGTACCCCAGAGGTATCTGGCAGCCACTGGGTACCCCAGAGGTATCTGGCAGCCACTGGGTACCCCAGAGGTATCTGGCAGCCACTGGGTACCCCAGAGGTATCTGGCAGCCACTGGGTACCCCAGAGGTATCTGGCAGCCACTGGGTACCCCAGAGGTATCTGGCAGCCACTGGGTACCCCAGAGGTATCTGGCAGCCACTGGGTACCCCAGAGGTATCTGGCAGCCACCGGGTACCCCAGAGGTATCTGGCAGCCACCGGGTACCCCAGAGGTATCTGGCAGCCACCGGGTACCCCAGAGGTATCTGGCAGCCACCGGGTACCCCAGAGGTATCTGGCAGCCACCGGGTACCCCAGAGGTATCTGGCAGCCACCGGGTACCCCAGAGGTATCTGGCAGCCACCGGGTACCCCAGAGGTATCTGGCAGCCACCGGGTACCCCAGAGGTATCTGGCAGCCACCGGGTACCCCAGAGGTATCTGGCAGCCACCGGGTACCCCAGAGGTATCTGGCAGCCACCGGGTACCCCAGAGGTATCTGGCAGCCACCGGGTACCCCAGAGGTATCTGGCAGCCACCGGGTACCCCAGAGGTATCTGGCAGCCACCGGGTACCCCAGAGGTATCTGGCAGCCACCGGGTACCCCAGAGGTATCTGGCAGCCACCGGGTACCCCAGAGGTATCTGGCAGCCACCGGGTACCCCAGAGGTATCTGGCAGCCACCGGGTACCCCAGAGGTATCTGGCAGCCACCGGGTACCCCAGAGGTATCTGGCAGCCACCGGGTACCCCAGAGGTATCTGGCAGCCACCGGGTACCCCAGAGGTATCTGGCAGCCACCGGGTACCTCCAGAGGTATCTGGCAACCATATGTTTCCGCCTCCGCCGGGGATCGAACCCGGGCCTTGGGAACTACGAACCCAGAACGCTGTCCACTCAGCCGCGAGACCCCGTAGTACGGGCCCTTAAGTGGCATGTTATACAGGTGGCTGACGCCGGCTAGTGGTCCCTCCTTGACAGATCAATGAAGCTTTCCTGCCATGTGAAGTAAGATGAAGTCCATGTTGACGTGTGAGTGCAGCTCCCCGGGCAGGGGGAGGACCCCCTCACCAACCATACTTGCGGAAATCAATGTTTGACACATGAGTTTAAACATCATCAACATCCGGATGTAAACATCTCTAGCCGGGTGTACACAGACAGACGCCAGGTACTGACGGACAGCTTCACTTCTGAAATGTTGGTGCGGGGAGTAAGGATTGATTGCTGCAGGTTTGGTCTGCAGGTCAAGGGGGAGTGATGCAAGTGAGTGATTGCTTGCACATATCTTGGCCAGCTTTTGGGGCCTTCACATAAATCTGTGTCTATGAAGACGAATGTTTAGGCGTGGCGGGAGACCGGGCCCGTGGAGACCGGGCCCGTGGAGACCGGACCCGTGGAGACCGGACCCGTGGAGACCTGGGCCCGTGGAGACCAGGGCCCGTGGAGACCGGATCCGGGCCTTGGTTATCCATAGAGTGTGAGGTATGGATGGAAGGAGAATGGGAGGCAAGGAGAGAGAGAATGAGGGGAGGAGAATGAGAGAGACAAACAGATACGAGACCCGGACCCCGCCGGGTATCTCCCCCCCCCCCCCCTCTAGTACAGTATAATACAAACTAATATACATTTAATAAACCCTTGTTAGGTATAAAAAAATTAACAATTTACAAAATAATTTGAGAAAGAGAAAATTCAAAATAATACCGATAGATTACCAAACTACGAGCAATAAATGTATAATGTCAATGTAATTGAAACTTGAACAACAACAACTGCTGCTAGTGTGGCAAGACAGGTCAGTGTCCGCCGCAACATATTGGAATATTGTGCATATTCATACACACGACACATTACTCCCCACCACCATTGATAACGGATTGCCTGCCATGACTCCTGAGGTGTGAGCCCTGTGTGTCACAGCTCCACACTGCCCACACTGGACCACGGCTCCTCCTGCTGGACAATATATCCGGGGCGGACCAACTGACGTTCACACAATCTTACTAAGATACGAAAGCAGGTGATCTGATCCCCAGGTGAGACTGACGGAGCATGGAGCATCTTGAGGGCACTAAGTAAGCTGGAACATTCTTGGACACATTCTCAGCTCCTGTGTTGGTAGATACAAGCCTTCTGGTAATGGCAGAAGGCTTCAGGCAGGCTTGGGGGGTCGCTGGGAACATTCATAAAGATTTATAGACCTCTCTGGCCCTGCTGTAATTCGAGAAGGTAATAAAACTTTGAAATAATATAAAAACTTCAGCAAATTGGTTGGTGAAAATACTAGGCGGCCAGTGTCAACCAGACCCCAGTGGTTAGAGAAGCAGGAGGCTCTTGGTTCACGTTGGAAAGAGGTGATTCAAGTGGGAAAGGACCCCATAGTACACATCATTAGAGGTGTGTGTGTGTGTGTGTGTGTGTGTGTGTGTGTGTGCACCAGCCGACTCTTTAGTATCTAAGTTACATTTGCCTATTCTGCTTACAAAAATGTTCAGTTAGCATGTTCAATTTCTGTTTAATAAGAACATAAGAACAAAGGTAACTGCAGAAGGCCTATTGGCCCATACGAGGCAGCTCCTATCTATAACCACACAATCCCACTCATAAAGGCAAATGATAGAGCTTATAAAGATGTTAATTGACCTCTTTCATTCCTTATACTCACACTACATTTACCTTATTGCCTGAGAGACTCTCGAGCATCCACGCAGGCTTTTCCTGGCCAGGGTTCGATCCTCTCAACGCTCTCCTTAACAAAGCCTTAAATGTTTACCATCTTTTTACGTTTTCTGAATTATTGTTTGGATTAAAACCATAAATTTTATGTCAAAATGTTTGCAAATAAATATTTTGATTATAGATGCAAAAAGAGGTGTATTGACCTCTTGTGCGTGACAGCGTTGAATATAATGGAGAACAAAGATAACCAATTTCTTGACTATCTCTCTGACTAGCAGAACAATTTCTAGAACAGTTCTATAGAAGCAGCGTGTTAGCGAGCACCGCTGATCATTAAGTCATTAAACAAGCGCCCTTAACGAGGTGTTCAGAACACATAGTAAACTATATATTGTGAATGCCAACACATATTCTCCATTAAGCTGGACCCTTGACTAAGAGAGCCAGCCAGCCCCACACGGGGTATACATCATACTATACACACCAAGTATACCTCTTGGTGTATGGTGGTATGACCTGTGCTCCCGCCTCTCTCCTCTACACAACACTCACACACTTCTTGCAAAATTTGTTCTGCTCTGTTCAGCAAAATTTAATTCAATGAAATAAATTCAATAAATAACTGGGTCTGTGTTACAACCGCATAACTATATAATATTATAAAGATAAATATATAGAGATATTCCTGTGACACACCAGGAAGCCAACGTGAGCAGAGACACATGACAAAAGGTTTGAGTGAAGAGCTTGGCCTTTGTGAGTGAAGAGGTTTATCAAGCGTCAGTCTAGACAAGGCTGTCCCGGACCTCTTGTTGGGACTGGTTAGGTCTTCCTGGGGGGGTGAGGGGGACCTGGGGGGTGGTGAGGCACACCCCAGGGGGGAAGAGATGGGGTGATAAAGGTCTGGTGGAGGGGAGAGGTAGGGGTCGCTCGCCCCCAAGGTTAACTGCCTCACCAAACGACCGTAAACGACCAATTTAACCAATCCGCTGGTCTTGGCAGGATGACGTGATTATCTCTGGCCCAAGTAAATATCTGAGGCGGGAATGGAGACTGCGGGTTATCTCTCCAAGCACACAAGGACACACAGGCACACACAGGCACACACAGGCACACACAAGCACACACAGGCACACACAGGCACACACAGGCACACACAAAACAAACAACAGATTTTGTTATGTCATGAACCCATAATTATCGTCGTCTACTCCTTCATAACCACTTGTGTGTGGGGGGGGGGGGGGGGGAGGTCAGGTTACACACATACACAAGGACTAACGGCAGCCTCCATCTTGGAACACCGCCTGCAGCAGCTCCTGCAGCAGCGCCTGCAGCAGCTCCTGCAGCAGCGCCTGCAGCAGCGCCTGCAGCAGCTCCTGCAGCAGCTCCTGCAGCAGGCGGAGAGTTGGACTGACCTCCACGTCTTCAATATTTACTCCACTGACCTTCCTCTCGTCTACTGCATCTATTCATGTGTCTAGAGTGGGGAAGGAGAGAGAGAGAGAGAGAGAAAGGGAGAGAGAGAGATATGCATATATATGCATGAGAAAACGCTTGATTTCTGAAGGATTCGAACCCGATGAGCAAGGCCTCCATGCTCCTTGGCAGTCCAGTACTATAACCACTCAGCCACCGACGGTACACAAGTATTGGGAAGTCATCAGACCTATAACCCCAACACCCTACACTACCCCCAACACCCGGCAACACTCGTGGCATTACTGGACACATATATCACCACATCACGTCATCATGGTGGAGCAGGAGCACCTGTGCGTCATGCTGCCGCCGCCATGTTGAAGTGATGTGGTGAAGCGCCTCTGCCCAATAGTATGAAAACTTAGTATATTTGGTATTTATATATTGAAGAGGCAATTTGGGGCACCTCTGGTGATTGACGGCTTGTGGAGACCATCACTCTTAAGTTTACCAGCCTACAAAGTGGTTGGGCACCATTCCTTTCCCCCGTCCCATCCCGAATCCTTATCCTGACCCCTTCCCAGTGCTATATATTCGAAATGACTTGGGGTTTTCCCCTCATAGTTTCCTTACCTAATACTCTTGTCATAACACTCTACGGTAAACAACACCCGCGTTTCAATACTTCACCAGTCTGGGTTTTTTGTTTTAACATATGGTGTCTTCTCTCTCTAGCATTTGTGTAACTTAACCCATAATTGTTAGTTTTTAATTTATTATTATTATTATTAGTAGTAATAGCAGTAGTATAGAAGGTGTAGCAACACCCGCTATGTGTAAATGCATTAAAAATATAATTTTATGTGACTTACACTATTTCTTAAGGTGTTGTATACATAATAATTACACCATAACTGCCTCTTGTTAATTACTTTCAACACTGGTGATTGCCTTGTGTGGGTGCCTCACTTGTCAATTATGCTAATAATGATAATATACATTTTAATTAATGGTGAGGCACATATGGGCGCGAAGGGACGAATAATGAAGGACATTATACCACATATCACCATTGTCCCATATACCCGGGACCTGCAGTGTAGCTACAGTGTAACCTGTGTTCCCCCTCAAGTAACCTATGCTCACTTAACGAGAATGATATGGACTACAGGAAACCTTAATTTGACCCTAACTTATCTACCTTTCCTCAGTGTAATCGATGTTAACGGCAGTTAATTAACAGTTATGGTAATGTTATCCAAGAAGACGAGGCTGAAGATAGTTTGGTATTATAAGCCAGTGTAGTAAGATAATTAGGTTAATTACCCGAGGCGGGATCCGTGATTACCCCTGGTGTACAGGCCACAGTGAGGACACACACACCAGTTACCTTAATGAAGTCGTATTTCACAGCGCCTTGTGGTCTCACATGCACGCACACACACGCACACACACACACACACACACACACACGCACACACGCACACACGCACACACGCACACACGCACGCACACACACACACACACACACACACACACACACACACACACACACACACACACACACACACACACAAACACACACCCACAGCAGTGATATTTATTATTATTAGGTGATAGTGATATTATTTCATTAGGAAGCAATGTGGTGGAGGCTGACTCCATACACAGTTTCAAGTGTAGATATGATAGAGCCCAGTAGGCTCAGGAACCTGTACACCAGTTGA